TTCAGACTTGCTGTAGTCAATTTCGAAGCTACAAATCTATTCCAGACACAGTTGACTCACTGTAAGACTGTATTACGTAAATAAATTGGTCAATGAATACCAACTGATGTTGCTGTTAAGTTCCACGTACTAATCGAACGTGTTTTTTGAAGGCTGTACAAAAATCTGGCCGATACGTGACAAGAATATACGAGGCTTAGGTGGAGCCAAGCTTCATACTGATTTACACCAACCTACCACAACAGTGAGAAACGTTATAACATAGTATCACGTCACCCATCTAGGTGGTTGAGTGTGAACCATTACGAAGCAATAGTCAGCTACATCTGTAAATCATTCTCGTGAAACTGTAGATGTCAAAATGTGGATAACTTGTAGGGAGAATATAGAAACCTCTTAATGCCTGACAAAATGATATCCGGTTATCACAATGATAAACAGTAACAAGGAATTGTTTACAAATTCCAAAAAACAGAAGTAAAATAATAAGAAGAAGACTTTCAAATAAATTGAAAGTGATCACTTTAAGAAGCACTTCGTATGTCCTAACCAATAGCTGCTACTTCGACGCGGTGGTCCGGGTTGCAGATCACAATGACCCAACGAGCTATGCTGGTAGAACGCTTGTTCCCTCGTGACAGAAAGGTTCGTTGGATAGCGGTGAGATGAAAAGCAGTTTCCGTTGTAGTTTAAATTACTACACTATGATGGAGGTTTGAGGGTTAAGTCGCATTCCTGTTAGCTGGATGGGGTGTGACAGGAGTCCCATGCTGATGCCGTCTTCCAAATGGTAAGAGTTAGCGGAAGTCACCCCCTAAAATAACACACCATCCTGCCCTACGGTCTTCCGGAGCCGGTGGTATGGGTTCTTCCTATCCGGTGTTAGAACAACCTAATCTAAGAACAGCATTCCGAGAAATGCCATGTTTCGCAGACCTCAAGCAGGTTTTCCGTGGTCCTTATGGTCACAGATCCTTTTTTCAGGTACCTTAGGAAGAAATTGCCTTTCACAGTGTGGGCAGTCGAGTAGTGTTAGCCATCCGCATGCTCCCAGTAGTAAACAAGACCCAATCAATCATGACCTATCTTTTTCAACCATCTCCTTTGCCTTAACCTCCTGATACTAATATTAGGCCTCTTAGGACTAACCCAACCTCATATTCTGCAACCATTTTTCACGATCAAAGCCAGGGAGACCTTATTCCTAGTCTCCTAAAACCCACAATCGACTTCATGTAGGAGCCTTCAACGTCCAAACTCCATGCCAAGTTAGACACCAACAGTCGCTGGTCAAAACCCTGGAATCTCTAGCCATGGATGAACCCCGTATCTCTGAGACACGTACACATGACCCAAGTGTGGTTATTCAATTAACCTTACCTGGCTATTATAGTGAATCTTCACAATTCACCTTACGAGTATCCGCGGGCTCAGTGACTAGCTCTAGTGGACTCCCAGGTGAATGGATGGAGTTGTAAAGCAGAAAGTGCGCTTCTCGAGTGGATACCAGCCGACAGTCATCTATGTGCTTTTGGACTGAGTGGATCTGCTAGAACTAGGAAGAATCGTGAGACTAAATGATGCCTACTCGAAATCTTCGCCTACGCATCCTAAGAAATGACAGAAAGATTTAAGAATTAAAAACAAAATACACACTTTCGAAAAGTTTTCAATTTCTTTTCAATAAATATTTTTGAAAAGTCACTTCTCCAACGTTAGAGTTCCTGACTCCGAGAGACATGTCACTGATACTAAGTGACCGCTTGAATCCAATGCAGGAAGTCATGACAATAGCAAATACTAAACTGAATCGATTATCTTTCCTTGTGTTATTAGACCACAAAATGTCTGAGGATTTGAATACTGTGTAGGCAATAAACCGAAGAAAAAGGCGCTCTGGCCACGCCGACTTTAGACCTTCGAATTAGAGTTCAATACATATAGTTGCGAAGTGACGCTAGTGCCTGCAGTCTCATATTTGCCAATCGTCAGTGCTGGATTGATTTCGAGAATATCAAACACTGACCTGTTATCAGTTACTTCACAATAAACTACTTAGAGTTGTTGCATTTAATTCGGAAAATGTTTTTGGAGTGCTGTGTCAATACAACATCAATAAAGTAGAACGCAATGGCCTTTGATGCAGTTACTGATATAAACTTTTTCGCTAGAAAAAAACACCATAGAAACAGACTGCGTCGCGGTAACAAGCTTGAAACTAGACCTCTTTCGACAGTAACTAGATGTAGCAGTACAACCATATGATAGGAAGCGTAAATACAACTTGACAAAATATACTGAAACAGAGCTCTCACGGACAGATTACACTGACCATGTTATTGAACGAATGTTTATTAGACTTTATAATGACTTTAGAACGGCTTTAAATCTTGTGACTGGACCAATATAGATTTACCTTAACTATATCGAGTTATCTCTTTCCAATGTTTTCTAACAAGTACGGATCAGTAGTGCTTGTGAACATTTAGAAATGTAAGCGTATTTCATCAGTCAGTCTACGGCTCAGATTAGATTCCAATATAAACACTATATGCTTAGAATAGCCAGTTTGGGAAAGTGATACTTACATATAATATTAGACGGTTCAAACTAAACACTAATGGACAATATAGTTCATCATCTAGTTTACGATCATATCTAATACACAGAAACGTCAGTGTACTAGCAGTGGCGACACATCTCGCGGGAAGTTGGTTACAGAGTTGTACAAACAGTCAGTTAAAAATCATATACCAAACACCTGCAGACAACAAAAAATTGAGATGTAGTAACTTATTAATTGTATTCAATATTCACAAAGTTAATAGGTAAAAGTATGCGCCAGAAATAAGTTTATATCCTACATGATCTGTTTCAAATCACAATGCAGTCGATCAAATTCAGCAGCTCATATCAGTGTAATTCTTCTCGTTTGTTTTTAAAAGTAAACGGACTTTCGAAATTCCGACGTTTTTAGTCCTAGTTAATAGTGACAAGGATAAACGTATTGACTCTAGACATGTTTGTCGTTTGTGCTATATCAACTATTATCGCCTAATTCTAATTCGACAATCCAGTTCATGTCTAAGTAACCTGTTCACTACCCTTTATCATAGTTTTCTGCTCTTCTATACAATCTCAATAGACCATCTTTCGTACACTAAAATCTACACAACAAACACGTCAATCACAGTTCGCTAACTGTACATGAGGACAAATACTTTTCTCAATTGGATGGTGGCTAAATTATATCGTGAAACAAAAAACGTTGGGAAATGTGAACTACTGGATTCCTACCCAACAGTTGAATGACGAACTCATTGCCAGAATTTACCGCCGAACACTCATTAGTTCTCCAGATAATGTCCGCCTGTGATGAAAAACGACTTCGGAAGTAGCCGAAATGAATTGTGGAAGCAACTAGCACCTCTTCTGGTTGAGGACTTTCCAGCTGGGATGATTTTGGTCATTAATAAGCCATGGTTTCCATCATCATCATCATCATCATTATCAACATAGGACCAGGCATTACTGCGTAACGGTCCGAGTTGCCACACCTCATATCAGCACATCAAGTAAAAAGGTAGTGAGGTGAAGGATGAAGATAAGTGAATGCAGTCAAAAGAAATATAAAGTATGAGAAGAAAGGAAAGAGGAGTGACAAAATAGTGAGATTCGGTATAGCGTTGTTAAGATGGTTTCCGGAAGTTCCGAAACTGATAGATAGGCAGATGTTATAGAAACTATTCCTAAGCAGGAAATAGCTTTATATCTTCATGGGTCAGAAACTAATCATCGGTTTGCAACAATGATATGCCGTAAATTAAATAAACTTTCAACTTGCCAGGTGACTATGCTACAGATAGGACCTGAACCGGGAATCATCTCGGATGCCTACAAATTCTCTAGGAAAATTATGAAAAATCTTAGCAATTCGTGTACTTCTTAAAGATAAGCAGACAATTGCCTGGAGATGAAGGAGATGGTTACCGTATAATCTCACATACTTAAACCCACTAGATCACTGGTGACACCACCACCAGAGAAATCCTTCAATTGATCCACAGAAATGAGCCTGAATAGTTATACATTTCTAGCCTGGACAAATCTTTCACCAAATTTTATGCAACCACTACCTCACCTCCCATATTCCACCACTACAGCCTTGTAAAACAAACAAAGATCATAACAAACAAGGTTCTTATGACTGTTATCGCACATAGTTAATAGGTTTAAAGCTTGCTTCTTCAGCTTGGAATTAGTGGCTTAGTCTGACTGAGTGTAGTGTCGCCAACTCTTTCATCTTATTTGAATAAAACGGAACCACAGCAATGAAAGTAATTCAAGCCATTTTTCATGACTTTTCCAAAAAATGCGGACTAAGACCTTTTGAACATTTTATGGAAAAGCCTAAAAAAAAGACAACCAAGAATACTGTATATCGTTGACCTATATTCAAACGTCAGGATATTAGACATCCGTTCAAAAGTCCCCATTACACTTGTTATTTCAAGGGCGACAACCGTATGCATAGCTCATCACCAGAAAAGCCGCCACCTATGCATAAGCAATATAGCATGATAACACGAAAATCATTGGGACGATGAAGTCGTCTAACCACTGCCATAAACAAATTTAAAAAGTTGTTTTCAACATCTGGTTATACGTGAAGATAAATGATGTTAAGTTTGTATCACACAATTAGATTAGTACTGTTATGTTCTACTCAAAGAAATTGACTGGAGAAAGCTAAATTATGAAGTTGACTACACATATGGTCTTAAAAATTTGAGGTAATTGGCCGAAAATCCGTTTTCTTAAGAATGATAATGCTCATTATACATCATGAAATGATACTCGATGGGATCTAAGCATTTTGCAGTCGATCAATTTCGTTTTCAATACGTACTCTGAGGAAATCAACAGACTTTCAACATTATCACAACCGTTATCTTCCGAATTCGGTCTGCATGTCAAGTTCTACAAAAAACTGAAATATTCAGAGAATTAGGATTTTTTGGATACTTTTTATTTTGAAGAATCTGATTAGTAACAGATGAGAATAGAAGAGCTTGAAAATAAAAGAAATACTAGAGACTCATTTTGACAAATACATCATGTGTTACACGCGAAAACCATCACTACGAACATCACAAAAAAGCATACACACATTCAAGATTAGGAATAAGTAAAGAACTATTTACAATGAGCAGACTTATGGAATGAGTAGTATTTATTGATGGAAATATTTAGATAGATAATTATACTAATCAGTATAAGGAAGCAAAATGAGGAAACCTAACTGCAAGTTTATATATTTTACGGTTCACCACAATGGAAGACAGAGCAAGTGCACTTGAGGGATGAACATAAGGAAACTAAAAGCATTCAAGTTCAACAGGTTACATTTTAAAAAGTATTGTGATTGTTGGTACTAAACTAAAAAAAAGTTCAAAGGTATAACTGTGGACAATAAGGGTACAACTTAAAAGCAGGCACAGCCTGAAGTAGAAGTCATAAAACGTGAAGATTTATATCACAGGCGAAAAATGTAAAAGCCCACCTAGCTATATATGTGCCTTTTAACATTTGGAAGAGCAAGTGCATTAAGATAGCAGCTGAAATTACAAAAATAATACGGATCACTTGAAACAGATCAAAGGCACAAAATATGAACACAGTCATACAGTTAATGCATGCGCAAGAACTACTGACTAGACCAACTACTAGGACTGCACAGTATGGCATTGTGAGGCAAACTGATTCCAAGTTAATGGGACACAAAGAGAATTACAAAGAATCTGGGAATAAAGGGGACTATACACTGTACACATGAGGTCATATGAAATATTTTCAGGAAGAGCTAAATCACGGCTGAGGGTTTGTGGGCATTCGCTTTCCTAAAACTAAATTACCTCCTGACTGTTGCTGTCCAGAAGCGGGACCATGAATAACATTGACTTGAGAAGCGTGACTGGATGGTGTGTTTATCGTCGTTACATTTGCGCCTGAAGTAATTGGAGACTGATGGTTTGTGTACGTTTGAGGATTGCTCAACGAATGTGTGTGATTAAACATTTTCTGGACTGCAAAGCCGGAGATATCAGGGCCAATAGTCAAGGTAGGGACTGTCCCAAAAGCTGTAGGGAACGAGTGCGATGAAGTAACTGAATACAGCGCTCCGTTACCACTTGCGTTATTAGGGACTGATAAGCTCGAATGAGCTTGTGTGAGCGCCACATAGGGTTGGTAAGGGTGCGCTGATACAATACCACCGTTGGCAACAGAACCTGCGTTGAGCGGAATCCACATTCCACTTGGATGTGTGGGAATAGAACGGTTCAAAAGCGAATTATTGCCTGGTGGACAACTGATAGCAGTAGGAGTGAAATAAGCGTTAGTTTGACCAAGATGAGCACCTGGAATAAACTGAAGGAAAACAGCCGAATTAGGAGCACCCCCAGCGATGTTGCTAGGGTTACCGACGGAAGGTACATATGTCCCGACAAAAGGGGCTGTATTACCTGGAGTGGCAAGACGATACAATGCGGATATGAAGGACGCTGTGTTCGGGTCCGTCGGAGGTAAGGTTGGAGCATTCGGTCCTGAAGCCAACAAACTACATTGATTTGCGGCTGCTGCTACAAGTGCAGCAGCTTGCTGCTGGGAGTATAGTTGAGGACAGTTGAATGGAGTTTGCTGGGGCGATCTTGTGCTGGATTGTGGACCAATATCACCCTGGTAGAAAGGCGTCGTAGTGGCTGCATGCGGTTGTGATGGTGAAGAGTTTGAATAAATATTTGCCGGCGCAGCACTTGTCAAAATCCCAAGGTTGTTGGGACTAAGGATATGAGCTGAAGACTGAATATAGTTTGGATGTGAGTTATGCGGCAGTGTGTTCAATGAGTGTGCCGCAACACCCAGGATCTGAGTTGTGACTGGAAAAGGTGTATTGTTGCTGTTTGCCGAAACCTGAACACTACCAAATGAATGTACAGAAGAAGCAGGATTCATTACCGGCAAACTCTGACTAGAGGGGTCGACACCAGGATGTGTCTGAGACTGATTACAAACTGGAACCTGCATAAAACTTACATCCTGATCAACAGCTGAACTCGTCAGGACAACACTATGGTTTATAGGACGTGCATAACTTATATCCACAGGTGCACAACTTTCATTCACCTGTTTAGTCATTGTGCAAACACGAGTAATTCCAGTTGGTGAGCCGTCCGGAGAAAAGACTACCAATAAAACGCTACTGCTGGAAACAGCATCAAGTAACTCAGATTCAGTGGTGGACACCCAGCGAAGTCGGTTAAACTGCAGAAGCTCAGACAAAGGGCAGACGTCTTGATTGGCAGTGAGTATTGAAAACAAGTGGGAATCTCGTTGTAAATTGCTTTCACTGAAGTAGTATTCGCTAGAGAAAATGAAAAAGTTAAATATTCAAGGGTATTAGTGAACTGATTGCTAATACGGTGAGTTAATTCAGAAAAATGATGCATCCATGATTCCGTTTTTCAGACACGTTTATGCCTTTGAGAAACCAAGAACCGTAATGGTGTAACTTCAGAAAGCTGCTAATCAGTGCACCGGACTGATAAACACTTCAGACGAAACAAAAATAATTTTAAGTAGCGTAAACCCTCAGTGGCAACCTGCACACATTCAATATAATCCAGTCATTTACACCTTTAGAAAAATGCAAAAATTTCGAGACCTCGAGATGGGATTCCAGTATCAAGTATGTCGGCCCAAGTTGGATTTCGCAATGGTAGTAGATGGCCTGATCTATTATGAAATACTAGCTAATCTAGTTACACATGCATGATCCAAGTAAAATCGAAGAGCATAGGCTAATTGAAAATTGACCCTCTTGAAAAAATCCTTAATCATACTTGAGGGTAAAGCAATGTGGACGCATTCCTGATGATTAGGTGAGCATGTTCGTCCTAAAAACATCTCCTCAACAAGCACTACATCACGGCCTTTATTCAAAACGGCATACTTTGCATATATTCATCGGTTTGATCGATACCATTAGGAAACTGATGTGTGTAGCTGAATAAGAGGGGAAGAATAACGTTTCCATGTGTCGTAACCACGATGCTCCGGTGATTCTAAATGCAATCTTTCATTTTAATTTTCACTAACATACTTTCAAGTGAAGCAAAAGCACTTGAATCAATACGCAGTTATGTTGTCTGAAATCGTTTTCCCCATGCGAAGTCTAAATTTTAATTTGTGGCTCAAAACAATTTAAAAGATGGTGCTTCGAATTGTTGAGCAAGTGAAAAAACACAAGTGCACTAAGTGAAAATTGTTAACACTGAAGCATCACTTACTATGCAGAGTCAACTGTCGACGACATAAAAATGTTGCGGTTAGTTGCTCATCCATATCCCCTAATATAACTACCGTAACATACAATTGTTTTATAAGTTCGTACTTACCGCAACTTTAGCTACGGATAGACTACATACCTATGGCGTACTGATAGTGATTCTGACTAGTGTGTTAAGTACCTACAAGAAACATTCTATAAACAGCCAAAGCTTTAGAAAACCAGAACCAACTTTTCCAATTATGGTAACAGAACGCCTACAACTATTGGCTACAGAAAATATGGCAGTATCAAAAGAAGAATAAGAGGAGATGGAATTCAAAAATCAGGAGCAGTGAAAATGTCAAAGAATGAATATATCTAAGCCACTGAAACCCATTTTCAGCTGTCAACAGTTTCGAACCACTGATTCTTATTATCTTGAAGACCCGAACCAGACTCTCCCTCCTTATGCGGACCAGATAACCGACAAAGACTTCACAGACTCTGAGACGTTTTTCAACATCACTCTACTTCAGCAAACAATGCATGTCAAAGTAACAGACGGTGCCTCAACATTCACAACGTATGTTCAAGCCGGCTTAGTCAATAAACAGCCACAACCACATTGACTGGCTTGTCTTCTTTATCTAGCAACCCTCGTCTAAACTCGACATCCCTCATACAATGATCTACCAAACGTGGGCAGTACTACGAAGATACATGCGGACGAAAACCTGTGGCAGTATTATATTATAGCGCAGTGATACACTATTATAGAATGGAGAATCAACACCCTTACGGACACCGCTCGACGTGTACAACTCACTAGAGGCTCTAACACGCTTACGTGAATTCGAATACGGAGCCTTCAAGAGAGCAACTTGCTTACTCGATATTCTTTCCAGTGAAGCACCGCCATAAGACATACCGGTCGACAGAGTCAAATACCGCCTTCCAGACAAGGAGTGAAGCCGATGCCGGGCGTCAGTATGTCCCTGTTTTCCGAAATATGGCTGCAAGGATTTCTAGTCGTTACACCACTCGCGGCGGGATCTGAAGCCTGCCTGATTTTCTCAGGTTTCCTATTGCCGAGCTTCATTTAGATATCTAGTCATAATAAAGCCTGGAATTCCATATTAGATTTATTTATTTGATTTGTAACACAGTGATCTAGTAATATTTACTTGATGACGTTTCGAGCATAGATCATTGCTCATAATCATATCAAATAAACAAATCTAATATGGAATTAAATCCTACCAGTGCCCAAGTTTTACACCTAAATTATTAAAGCCTAAAATCATCGACACTATTTGCGTCAGGCTGGTCGCTTAGGGTTATTATAGAACTCGCCTTTTCTGAAGACTAGGACAATCGGTGGCTGATATCAACCAGAGATAAGATAGGACTGGCATATACCAGTTAACACCTCAGTTTACTCGCCTAAAAATCCCCCACTGTCCCTAAATGCCTCTGGTACTAGACTGTCTCTCTTGGTTTTAGATTACTCGCACCATTCTTGACTACTGCAACTGTTGAGTGTTCCTTCTCGACGTTCCATTCAGGATCCGACTGGACGGTGGGCAGTGGAAGGCCAGTTCCGCACTTCGCTAAAGTCAACTCTTCGGCGAGTGAATTCCAGACCCATACTTCGCTGTAATTTCAACTAATCAGATTTTCTGGTCCCAGTTTCCTTGATAACTCTGTTTTCACCTAACATCGCTGCCTTTGCCACTTCGTTAATTTTCGTTGTCCTTCACTGTTTGTGGTTAATGCACATACTTTTCGTCAATCCATATTTGAGCTGTTTCCGCCCCTCACCGTGCTCAGAGCCTACAATGATGCGTTCATGCACACCCTTTTCAACAGCTCTCTTGGTTGGTTACGCTCTTCAACACGATTCTTAAAGCAAACTGGAGGTGGTGCCAGGCTTTATCTGGATGAGTGTTGTTTTGTTCCGATAGACAGTCAGTTTCTTACTGAAAGCAGCCTGTGTTGAGACTGTTGAGCTGCACTGGGAATGGTTTTGTTCCCATAGTTTCTCGATAACCATTCAGGCCTACACACATGCTTCAGGAGTAGCAGTCGTTCACCGACCCTTGTTATGACTGACAGCAATGTGATCTGTGTCCACCGCTGAGTTGAAGTGAGTGGAGGTCAAGTCAGACAGTGCTTATCTTTGGTTGCAGTTTGTGCTGGCTAGAACCAAATCGTCATCTGAACAGTTGCAGTAGATGGTCACCGTTACTTGCTCTTTTGGTGCCATCTAATTATCTTTGTCTGGTTTAGATGACCCACTTGTGCACCGAAAACATCTGCTACCACAAACACCTGTATGTTTGGCTCTCAGTAGGGGGGTTAGACAGTTTATCGTAAAACTCATCCCTAACTCCATCCGAACTGCAGCCAGCGGGGTGCGCAATCAAAGACTGCAAAGAGATAACGGCAAGTTTCAATATTCTTTCTAGTCCTCACTGTGCCGTACAGTCGAACAGCGCATAAGCAGCTGTTAACTGGGACCCAGTCGAGTGGTGGACTTTCTACTTTAGCACTTAATGCTATGACGCAACCCAAAAGACCGCGAAATTTAGACATCAAATCTGCAGAAACTCAGAGTGAATTTTGCAGGTACACCCTACTGATTGAATGAGGTCAAGTCAATAACTATACTTGGGTTACGTATGCGTATCTCACCAACACAGCACACATCCATGACCTCAGACTTGGTTAGCGCAGCTCGTTAGCCAGTTCGACGAAGGGTGCTTCAGGTAGACAACCAGATAGATCAAAACCTTGCACAGAAGTTCAGGGGCCAAAATAAACTCTTATACTTCACAGTAACAGGCAAAGAAAGTGCATGCGGAGGTTAAAAATTGTATGTTAATCAGAATGTTTAAACATTCAATGCCAAAAAGTGACTGACTTCCAGCTATGTTGTCTCACTCAACTAGTATCCTAATGAATCGTACCTATATTTATCTGAAAGTCAAAACTTGAAGAAATGCTATTTTTCCTACATATTTCTAACCAGTTAAACTTTGTACTGATAGCCCTTCAGTAAAACTTAGTGAGCAGTGTATAAGAGTGTTCTTCAGGTCTAGACAACCCATCCAAGCATAAATTCAGCGTGACAAACCATTCTGAAGTTTGAAACAGAATATCACTAATCAGTCTGCATAATTTAGCTGCTCTTACGACAGTTAACCCTCGACGTGCAGTCAATACTCACGATGCTAACGCGGTAATTACAGATACGCATATTCGGGATTTTTAAAACGTGAACGTTTCATTTTGCTTCAGGTATAAGCGAAAAATGAGGTGTGTTGTGAAAGGTTTTCATAACTGACTTGTCAAAATATACTTGAGCATCATTGTGGTATTCATGGTCAAAGCTCTCTTCTGAAGAAAGACGTGCAATTAGGAAGAATAATCTTCGCCCCAGCGAACATATGGCATTAAACTTGAAACCTTAAGTACATAAAAATCCTGAGGTGATTTGCAAAATAATTTCAGGAATAAACTGACTTACACATGATGCTTGATATAATCCAATTTTGACAAGAATTTCAAGAATTTCGTCCGATTCACGTTCTTAGGAACAAAAAATACACGATCCTCGACAATAATGACATCATCAGCTTTGACTGGCCGTGCGGGAACGTCATCATTACGGGACTGTGTGGAGGATGCAGATAAGTCATTTTTGTTGGCTGCTGACTCGGTGAAATCAGCTAAGTCTTGATTTGTTGACCCAAGGGCATCCTTTAAAGCGGCGGCAACTGCACGATGCTCTCGAAGACTTATAGGAAAAACTACTTTTTTCCATCCTGCATCATTGATAAAAGAAATCACCTGAGTTACATCGACTACCTCAATCGTATCAGCTGGTTGTTCTGTAGTGGTGGAAGTGACGGAAGACTGCGGATTGAATCCAGAATGTACCGCCTGGAGCGTCGGCACGTCAGAGAGAATAGGTAAAGTGATATTCTCGACTGGTATATGTGGCAACGCCGCAATAGGATGCTGGACTGATGGTTGAGTAGGCAAGATATGATTATTGGCTATTGATACGCTATGGGGAATAATTGTATGTGAAGCAGGAGTCTGAGGGAGCTGCAAAGCGGTACCCAACATCGTCGCAGGTGTTCCAGGGATAATGTAGGCAACTAAAATTGAGGCAAAATGATGCAGCGATGAGTTATTTTATACGATCAGGGGCTCACATGACGATAGTTGGGGTGAACTATCAGAAACTTTATTTTGAGAATACAGGTAAGCTAGTATGTCAAAGTACATATACCAACACTGACAACTGAATCTGTGCTACTGCATACGCCACTAAATTTTGCTTCACTAAGCAAATATCAGCCAACAAATGACTGTGATCAGTAACACTTGCATTCCGGAAAAGTAAAGCACCAAAACTAGTACTAGTCAAAAGATATTTAGAAGTAATGTAACATGACTTTAACTCACACCAGAGATTCATTCCTAGAGCGACTTGCATTTTCATGTAACATTGATATATCAAGTGACCATTTGAGATAGCAGTAGTTCGCGGTCCAAACTCTTACTTCACCTTTAATCATCACCCAGTATAAATACTGATGTAAAATGTTGTTTGCGCCATCAAGCCTACTACATTGAAATCTAAATTCAGCAAACTATACACAACTGGCATACCAGATAATCAACCTGATGAACTGAAGACAAGTTTAAGAAATACTAAGATACTAGTGCTATAGACAGTATAGAGTCGTATTGTCTTAACTGACAGGAAACTACTGCTCACCATTTGCGCCGCAAGCACCAGGCCACCAAATATAGGGTTTTGTTGTTTCACAGTAGAGGACAATGAAAACCCATGAATTATTTGGCAAGCGGTATCCAATACCAAAGTGCGATAAAAATCTACTGTAAACTTTAATACTACCCATTGTTATGTGGAGATATGGTTCAATGTTTTGAGTAGTTGAGTCATGAGTCAGAGCTCCGCTCCACATACCAAAGTTCGGGTAATAAGGGACTACCATACACCATAATCGATGTAACTCAATATACAAAGACTTACTCAACTTTGGAACTGCATACACCAAATATTATTAGTTCACACTAACTTCCTACAGAAGCAAGAAAAACCCCGGCGCTTATGTTCCTACTCACAAGTGCAGTTATTATATGATACTCCTTATTAACAGGCTAAAGGTGAGCTACAAAACACTTCACATCGAATTTCGGACAATCTGTCAGCACAACGTCACATTCATAGAGGCAATGCCATTTGCGGTCAAGTAACGGTTGATGCTACTGTGTAACGAAGCGTCACATGATTTCTGATCGTCTAGATTCGCTGAAAAAGGGATGAGGCTACGACCTTCTGATACCGTTCGTAATTTGGTCTACTGTCAACTTGTTATTCAGACACATTTGTGCTAACCGCAGAAAAGAATAGCTACGGTAGAAAAACAAGAGACTTACAGGCATTCATATACGAAGAAACCAGTTGGAACTCACACTTCCAGTTTGCTAATTAATTTCCTATACCAAACTAAGTTACAGGGAGTTATTTCGTCACCGTAGTCATTGGTACCGATAAGTCGGAGCCCCAGTTTAATACGAGCATCAGCATGAAAGCCACGTCACCGCCTTATAAATAGCCTCTTGTTCTGCTTTTCTAATTATCCATAACACTTTTAGTACAATGTACTAACGATATATTCGTCAAACGTTTTGTCTCACTTCTCCCGAAGTAAAGACTCAGTTTGAAAAGATATGCTGTTTCTTCCCAAACGTGCATCAACTGCATAAATCAGGAACTGTGCTCTTGATGCTACACAAAGTGGAAGTGTGCGCTCTTATGTGGGCTTAGTAATGACCACATTGTCGCCCAGTTGGAGCGTAGACAGAACCGATGATTCACTGGTGTTGCATGAAGGGATAACTAAGCTGGCAAATGCTTGGAAGGGATGAGGTCCGTGTCAGCTCAATACAGACAATCACTCATGAAAAGAACAGTATGATACTATGTATGAACGCATAGACCAAGACCTATTCAAACACATGAATTACTCACTTTGAGGTATTGTTTGGAAAGGGATAAGAGGTTGGATAGACGTATTTGCAACTAACGATGGGTGAGAGTTCAGGTTGTGGTTTTCTGTTTCAGCAGGAAACATAGGCTGATGTTGTCTTTGGTACGACCGTCTTGCACGTCCGACCGGCCCTGCATCGTAGTTTGATGGGATGTTATTCATCTGACTGCCTGACTGAGAAGAGACATTGGTTCTATCACGATAGCCCTTGCGAGGTGTTGGACCGGTTACAACAGACACGGTGTTTGCCTTTGGCGTCTGCAGTTCTGTCTCTGACTGCTGCCCAGATGCCTCTAGTGATTCCAGTACATTTTGTCCACCATCAGAGACCTTTTCTGCGGAAGGGGAGACATCTGTGCTTGATTGTAATCCGTCGATCATGACATTGCAAGCTTCTGAGGTCGGCTGACCAGGACTACTTCTTGCAGGTTCATTTGTGTGCTCCTTTGGCTCACATGATCGTATGTTTGCCATGCGCCCCGGATGACGATAAAACCCATTGCTGTTGCGGCCTCTATTTGCGTCTGTCAGGATGCGACTGCGATAGCCTCCAAAACCTAAAGAATTATAAGTTGTACATTGCTTACCTCTACGAAACGATCTAACATTACCACTCGCCGCGTAGTTTGCCCCGGTAAACGGTCCAACAGAATGACGACCACGCCCTCGTGAAAAGCCACACGCTGCGTCGTCCACCTCGTAATTCTGCCACTTCAGTTTCCCTAATCAGATTCGATTCAAAGAAGCGTTAACTTACTTTTCGGTTTTTCCTCTGCAATCCGAGTAATTCGTCGTTGTTCAGCAGGCGCTGAAGGCTCGGGCCAAGCATCTGCCTCAAGAGAGTTGTTTTCAGAGCTAGGTACTACTGTCGTTCGGCCAACAAACATAGTAGGGAACTTACTTGGTTTCCATGGATTTCCTTTAGATCCCTTCTCCTCCTCACCGTTTGTATGTTGATGGTTTGTGGAGGAATCACTGTGACTACTTTTCTCCGACCGTACGTTTAACTGAGCAAATTTAGAAGAAAAGCTCTCACTCATGATAGAGATCTATTGGTAACCTATCAAATTAGAATGAGCATATATTAGTAGATGAACATGCGAAACAAAACTGGATATTATTTGCCAAATGAACAGGTTATTATATAAAGAGAGATGAATACTGAATTTACGGGACGAATTCATCGCAGACTAACAGTAAAAAGAAAATCAACGCCAACCACGACTTACCGAACCAACACAATCAAAACAATGTGACAGTCAGAGGAAGAACATGAAGAAAAACAAAGCTGAGTATTTTATTTTGAAATCTGCTTTGTATTATTACATACAGGATAACAATACTTGGGATAATGAAGCTTATATTTGAAAATAAATGCATATATTGCTAATGTGTGCAGTTTCAAAATTTGTTCAATGAATCACGGGCCTGACTAATATTCTTTTCTTTCTTACTAGGTCAGAACACCTCACATAACTCCATAGAAGAGTATAATAGTAAACGAAGAAATTATTCTGTGTAAAATACTGATTTTCGATCCAAGTAGTCAACTCTCATAAGAAGTGGTATCCACTACAGAAGAAGAGTAAACAAGCATGCAGATCTACTGGGAAAGGATTGAAATGCGCTCATAGCCTTCTGTCCCGAGGGTGAAAATCCAGATCCTAAGCACTCAATTCTCGGCATAAGCAATAAGGAAGTTAGGCTAATCAGGCCTGTGATTGGGCATGACGAAAATTTCTCCTTAAAGACCACATATAGCCTGGAATATGTTCATTAAAGGAGTTGATACCACTAATTCCGTTAAGAAGATCTGGCACTGACCATCATGTGGGAATTGTAAGCTCACGCCAAGTTGAGTTGGTCATGATTTTTGAATTTTCTTGCAGCGACCTCAGAGAAAAGCAATCCTTATACACCAGAAAAATTCAACACATCAATACAAATATCCTGGATAAGGATGAAGAATGCTTCTGAGCAGTCACTCCCTCTACGGCACGATAAATGAAAAGATTTGTTCACTTTCTGCTGTTAAAATAGGACAGGATAGAAAGATCTGATACCAACTTAGAGCCGATTTTTATCAGCAAGGTGCATCTTTTATAAATCAGTGGTTAGCTGCTTCAGTAGCAGACACATAAGTTACAATATCCGAAACATCCTTATATAAGCGTCTAAAACCTCTGTGAAGAGATTGGTGTATCTTAAATCTTTATTTTGCGGCGTAATTTCGGTGTGCATGAATCTTCACGTCATGACTCACATTCTCTTCCAACTCCTTAGTTTCTTGAACATCATATGCTTGCTCCCCATCTGTTACACACTTATGGTAACTGTCATTACTAATATGCATAATACGCACCAACTGGAGTTAATTTCCATGCAGCAACGCCTGCAGCAATCAACAGAATCATTTCAGTCTGTTTGCTATGCATGTCTGACTCGATAAGCATAGCCTTCCACTTTTCCACATCAACAGAAACTATCGCATTCGAATGCAAACCGCCGGGCATAAGTTCTTCATTCTGTGCTCGTCAGACCCAAAGAAAAGTCTCCTGATCATTGCAACGTGCAAGACCTTATCGGATTCCTTGGTCAGGCAAGTTGATAACACATTTCACTAGCTGCCACCCACCCATCTCTTACTATGAAGAGGCCAAGTAGGCAGTAGGCGGCTGTTACGTAAGGCCTTTGGTGACATTGAGAAGAGGCCATAGTTCCCATCTTCATCCTTCGATTACATATGAAGTCGTTTTTTAGGCTGGCAGAGTCCATGCTAAGTCTTCTGGTTTTTAGACAGATGATTACGAATAGCGGCTCAACACATACAGACCACAGGTTAACGTCACAAAGACTGGTCACTTATTTTTTGGATACGCTAAAAATAATTCTTTTCTGCGCGGAAGTTTTATCAGCTAAAATGTATTTTGATTTGTTGATGAGATGTGAAGAACACAGAAATGATTAGCAGAAATTCTTTTCGCATCATACGGTCTTACTGGATCAGGTGCTTTCGGCAACTGGGCTTAGTTAGAAAAACATTTTCATGAGGACCTGACGCTGGCTATACGATAAATGCAAACCAGCATTATTTAGTTGCAGCTCGCTAAATTCAAGTATGGTTGTTTACTTCCTTCGGAATTGTCCTTGTGCGAACTTGACAGACGCAGAGGTGAATCACTAATTATTCATACTTATACTATACCCGCCAATAAGGGGTCAAGGAAGAACAAAGTAGCGAGGTCAAATATGAATTGTATGTCTGAGAGGTCGTGCAACGTAATACAACAGCGTGAAAACTGCAGTGGATGCTTGGCCGTGTCCCTTCAGTTTAGTGAGTCCGATAAAACTACGAAAGTCAGCATCAATGTTGCAGCTCGTCGAACCCTAGGCTATTGATTTTAGGGAATTATGTGCCGACACAGACCACTCCCCCCAACTGGTTTCGTGAGGACCTTAGGACAATAACAACAGGAAGTAAGACCCAGTGGTCCCACCACTGGTAAAACTATCTCAATGGGCTCATCGCGAGGAGTGGCCCCTGGCTGTCCAAACTTTTTCCGGGATTTCGTTGCTGGAGAAAAAAACAGATCAAATTCTATGCTGATCACGATCCCCAGTGTTCTTTGACCTTCCACCCACTGCTCGTTGCACCTGGTATGGAAACAAAAGTTTCGTAAAAACGTGAAACACTTATGCTCCACGCGCAGAAAAAACATCAAAAGAATATTTGATACTTAATTCCACCCATTTTTAGTTGAGAAATGTCTGGTTGCGTGGTGGTAAAACTTGGAACAAAAAAGATCAAATGTAGGGGCCCTTTTGCATTCTTAGGAAAAACAGCTCCTCGGGAAAGGTTTTGAAACCTACAAATAATTGGCACACTATTGCTTCGACCACTCAGCTGAGTACGCCTTTAGACAACCCGAGAACCTAACGATCCGACCCAATCGTGCGATAGTTGTATAAGTGACTGTTGCGTTTATCAGTAGACTTTAGAGAGCAGAAACGTCGCTTGCTACGGGGTTACCTTCACAATAGGCTGCTTCACTTGTGTTTCGCTCGATTATATGGAAGTCCTTGTGCCACTCGATGACTGAGTTGCACATCACAAGGTGGTTGGGTGGCCAAGGAACACCATCGTCGCGTATGAAAACGTCTGATGTCTTGAGTAAAACGGGCTGAACGAAAACACCAGTCGCTTGAGGCTGAACAGGAGTATGCCTAACTGAAAGCGTTGCATTTTTAAGCTTGGCCACGTAAGATGTTCCTTCAAAAATACTTGTGAAAGCTGAAAAGGAAACGAACCCACCTCGTGGGAGAAGAGCAGTCCCACAGACGAGTTTTGCAGAAGTTCGTCCAGTATCAGCCCTCAAGGCCTTCCGGAAACTTAGTAGGACCACATGCAGAACCCCGATTTACCGAAGCGCGTTCACAGATGAAAGCTTTCAGCTGTTGATAAAAAAAGTTCTGCTATCCCATTTGCTTGTGGATGGCAGGCTGCCGATCGGTTAAAGAGGGAGACAGTCCACACACGAATCTACGCTCGCTGTTGCTTTCAACGTAAGATGGACATTCAAAGTTTGCAATACATCTTTCGGCGAAAACAACAGCGATGGTTTCAGCAGTGATATCGCTAATGAGCGGTGCTTCTGATCATTTCGTGAAACGATCCACGTGAGTGAAAAGGTTAGTGTATCCATTAGTTTCCGGTGGGAGTCCTACAATATCTATATGGACCTGGCCGAAATGCATGTCTGGGACTAGAAGGGAACATAAAAGGTTCCTCCTGTGTGATGTCACTTTACACTTCTACAAGCTGTGCACAGCCGAGCCCACTCTTTAACGTCTTTGATCACTCCTGGCCAACAGAAACGTCGTTCAATAAGCCTCGTGGAGGCCCGTAAACCTGGGTGGGAGAGTTTCTGGCGGGTACTGAAGACGCTGCGTCGACACCTCTTCGTAACTGCTAAGCCTGGCTGACTACCGAAGACAGCATAAAATTGTTTCTTTATCTCGTCCTACTGGACGACGACCCATGGTCCAGTTCAAGATTTCCTTTTCGAAACCGAGCTAGTTCAACAAAATCAACATCTCCGGTGCGGTTTATCGGGTTTATTCGGAACAACCCGTTGGCCCCACTGCCCTTTTTGAAGCGCCCGCATCGAAGCTTGGTCGTCAGTTAGCTGTTGCGAAACAGCTCCGATTGCTGAGTCAGATGAATCAACAGCAACATTCGAAGGAACATCAGAGTTGGAATGCTCGAGTGTAACTGCATTCGAGATGGCTTCCTTGACGTTAGATAAAGCAGGCCCATCCACTTTGCCCAAAGTGACGCACCTCACAGTCCCTCAAGGTAGATTTGTGGGTGACTTCACAATAGAGGCACAGTTGGGGATAAATCTTCGGCAATAACTTACTAGGTCATTGAAAGTGCGAAGCTGCTTTACAGTGGTCGACGTTAGATAGTTCATGACGGCCGCCAGTTTATATGTCAGTAGATGCATTCCTTTGTTGTCAATGATATGCCCAAGGAAGCTAGGCGGTTCGACTCCTATTTCACACTTCTATATTTTGACTCTGACACCATCCTCTCCCAATCTGCTAAATGCGAGGTTCCGATGTTTAAGGTGACTTTCCTTATCCGGACTCTTAATGAGACGGTAATTGATGTTTACGTGGACAAAGTCGCAGCCACGGAAGACGTCATCCATAAGGTGCCGGAATGCCTGCTCTAAGTGTCAGAGACGAAAGGGCATGCACGGGAATTCACACGGTCCAGAAGAGGTAATAGTGGTTGTTTTCGCGACGTCCTCTGCTTTCATAGGTATATGATTGTACGCTTTGACTAGATCGATCTTGGGAATATGATCATTCTTCATAAGGTTGTAGTCAAGTCGTAGGTGTGAGCATCGGGTAGCAGTCTGATGCTGTTCTGGCGTTAAGCCGTAGGTGTCCTCAGGTCGGACGCCAGTCATGACTGTCCCATTCAGGGACCATGTACAATGGTGATGTCTAAGGACAGTTTGACGGTTTGACAATACCTAGTTCAAGCATGTGATCAAGTTCACTTCTCGCCGTTTTGAACTTATAAGGGGTTGGATGGCGTGTCTGGGATGCAATAGGCTGAATTATGTTTGTGGTGTGATACATAGCACTGCTGGTTATGCACAACAGAGTATGCTCCGCTCGTTGTAACCCTGAATATTTTCCTAAAACTCCTTGATAGG